ATATTAAGAATAATAATACTAGCAATAGTAATAACAAGGATGATAATATTAATAATAGTAGTAATAATAAGATATATACTTGACAAAAATCGTGGACTATGAAAATAATAATAATTACATGTCAAATAAAATTACATGATAATGAATGACATAGAGTAGAAATAAGATATTAACCTCTCAACTGTTATCAATTTTAATTGAAAATAAGTAAAGGATTAGCAAAAATTTCAAAGGTTAAAAATGATAAAGTGAAAGCAAAACAAGACGTATTCTTCTAATGTTATCATTATTACTACAAATGATAATAGTTGTTTTTATTTAAAAATGTTTTGTTGATAGATTTTATCAAGATAAGAACAGAACAGTACAATAAATTATTATTCGCTTTTTTATTAGATAAGCAATTTATGCAATACTTTCAGAAACAAAATGCAAAATTTATGCGTACTTCAAAATGTTAGTTGTAATTTTTTCAAAAAATTTCTGAAGTACAAAAAATGAATCTTTGTGATGATATTAAGCAAAATAGAGTACATGAGTATAATTAAAATTTTGAGATATTTTAATTATACTCATATACTCTATTATCATTATTTTCGTTATCGATTGAATGACTGATTGGCTAGCTGATCAATCGATTAATTGATTGATCTATCTTATAAGAATTTTGTTGATAACCAATGTAAATAAGAAGTGAAAAAAGGCAAGGATTACAAGAATTGATTGCATTTTAGCTTACATCTGGCTAATCCCATTACTGCTTAGCAGTATTTACTTCTTGCAAACAGATGTGCGATACTTAAGCGCAGACGATGCGATGTGATCATTTTTGTGATCACAAAATTGCTACCAAACATTGCTAATTTTAATTTCTGATGTTATTTTTTTATTAAAAAAGAAGAAAAAAAATTACAATTTTTATACTTATTCTAAATTCAAACTACCTTAACGATGTAAAGCACATAAAATTAAGCTCGTAAAAATGGCATATTTTAGATAAGACTTAATATTATTACATTCTAGACTGAGCTCTATGAGACGACAAGCGCAAGATTTAACTTATATTTGCATTTATTAATATATTCAGGTGTATAACCTTAGCATGAATTTGACTCTGTACGCAGACTAAGTCAACTCAGAGCCTAACATCGTTCTAGACTTATTTTTACGCTTACTTTATTATCTGGCATAAAAATTGGCGTCAGAAGTATGCATTTAGTGCATAAGAATTGTTTTCTATGGCAAATCAAGTACAGAAATGTAATGAAAACACTCATCTGAACAAGTGAGCAATCACAAATTTTTACTCACCAAAGTAAAAGGAAACAAATCTTTCAAACTTACAAGCCTTCATAGAAATTATATTCATTATTAAAAATTAAAAATAGTAATTAGCATTGATCTGCTCTTTCTTGATCTGATCTGATCAGACAGATCAGATCTAAGATAAGATTGTAATAAGAGATGATGACATTTACTTCCTGCAAATTAAATTAATTTCTAAAATAAGTAAAAGTACTCTAAAAGTAGAGGCTCGGAGCGAATGAACACTTGTCGATAAGAGCATTTATTTCACTTTTGCAGTTTCACAGTTTGATATGGCTGTGATCGATTGCTGTCTGAATGTCCTTCCAATTGTGAATCAATTTTTTCTGCCAACAAATTCAAAGTGAAATATTAGTAAAGGTCATAAAGGTCGAAGTACAAGAAATCTGACCTTTTGCATTGTTGTTAATGGTTGCAATTAATGAATGCACAAAGAAATTTATACAAAAATTATATTCATTATTGCAAATTTTAGTAGTTTTAATTAAGTAAAAAGTCAAAAATTTTAAAAACTAATTAAGTCACTGAAAGTGTTGCATTACTTTTACTTGTTAACAATTTTCACTTAAAAGTTAGTACTAATCAATTTTTTGGAATTAAAAGAGAAAAAAAAAGCTGCTTATTTTAATTAATGCATTTGTTCTCACTTGACTGTATGAGTAAGTTATCAGCCAAATATAGACAAGAATAAACTTAATTCAATTAAGCTGTCAACTTTATAAATGTTTAATTGATTGATTGGATTGCATTACTGAACAAAAATATTGAGCAAAAAAACACTGCCAATTTTTATTCCCAAAATTTATTCTTTTTTCGATTTGAAAAAATGCTATAAAAAATTGAAAAATAATTCAAGTACTCTTAAGTCCTTGAATTATGTATAAAAGTTATTTAATTTATTATATTCCTTTTAGTGTTACTAAAATTAGATTTCATTACTGATTTCTTATTGTATGCATTACTTAAATTCTGATTTCAATTTCACAAAAATCAAATTTAAGTAATAAATATACTAAAATTGTTACTTTTAAGATTCTCGAATTTTAAGATTCCTGAAAATCAGATGTTAACTCAAAAAGAATTATTGCTGAAATTTGATTAAATGGTTTAACAAATTATTATTAATGCTGCAAGCTTTCTTACTTTATATATCACTTTAACTTTGCTGAAATAATATATATAAATATAACTTTATTGAAATAATAAACTTTTTAATATTCTATTCTCAGTTTCTTTTTAATATTCTATTCTGTGCTCGCTCAGTCCACAATATTTTACTTTATGAAACAAATCGCAACTAAAACTGAAACAATTTTGCTGCTTTGATGCAAAAAAATAGCCAATTTATGAGCTTGCTTCTTCGAATAAATTTATTGCATTAGTGAAGGCATTTTATGTTTTTGAAACATATTTTTTGTGCGAAACTACTTTGTATTTTATTCATTTATCAGTTAGATTTATTTATTCTTTCAATTTAGTAAGTTGCATTAATACTTTGACCTTTGGCATTTGAACTCTGTATGTGTCTCATTTGAACTCTGTATACTTTTACTTAATGCCTTAGTATTTATTACATGCATCAATATGGTTAGCAGTTTAAAGTATTGGAAAGTTGCGATAATTTTTACGAAGAAAATTAGAAAAAAGTTTTGGCATGAATTTATTGTTGTAATTTCGAAAAGTTTTAAACAAGTTTTTGCTAAAACTTTTTTTCAAATTTCTTTTTTTGCTGTTAATTGTAATAAAAGTGATTTATTGAAAGTTTACAATTTTTACGATAAAAATTTAGTTTTTAAATTCATTAATAATATCCGAAATTTTGTTATAATGGTGAAATTGTCAAATTTTAAGACCATTAATGTAGATAAAGCTAACTTTTGCGTGGTATTTAGCTTACTTTTAAGTATTGATTTAATTTGACTAAAAGATTTAGCTTAACAAAAATTAACTAAGAGATAATTTGATTATCAACATTATTAATTATATTAACAAGTTGAATTCCAAAATACAATCACAGCAAACATTTAAATTTGAAAAAATATTTGCTGATAGCCTTGTAGAGGTTAAGAATCGCAACAAGATCATACACAAAACTGACAAGAAATAATACCAAATCTTGAGCCAAAATGCAATTTGAGATCATCTTTCACACTTACATTAACTGATGGCTGATAATTAAATGGACTTGGAAGACTTTCAAACGGAAGGCTTTCCAGTTTCACTTTTACGTGGTCGGAAATTTCCCATACTGCCTTACTTGAAGAACTGTCCTCGATTTGCTTCCATACAATGAAATGCCAGTTTTTTTTGTGACATTGTGAACCTTGGATCTGAGCAAAAAGTTATGAAGCTATTTTTAAAAAAGCTTTATTTTTGTATAATTTTGATAATATCATTAAAGCTTACTTCACTTTGGTTTATAAAAAAAGTTAACTATTGTTTTATTTTTAAATAATACAATATAAATTTTGTTATAGCTCAAGGAAAAAGTCTAGTTATCAATTTGAAATTATATTATTGATTTTTGATAAAATAATTATTTTATATAATATATGCAAATTTTTATCATATTTATTATGTTATGCTAAAACCACAAAAGTTAAATATTTTTCATCTTTGCTAATTAAAATAGTAATAAAAAACTAACATGAAATATATAATTATTAGTCTGATTTTGATTTTTTCCTGTTAATGCATTAAAGGTTATACGTTTACTATGATATTTAGCTGCTTCAACTGAGATAAGAAATTGGAAAGGTTTTTTAGTTTCAGATCGTAATCGAACTTCAATATCGCATGCTTCTGATAGCATTGCTATTAGAAGCACAAGTAAATAAAAGTGAGCCAGGTCATAGTTCATCATTCCGAAAGTGCTGAAATGCAAAATTAGACCATTAAATATTACTTAAGTCTATTTTGACTAGAAGAAAAAGTTGACTTGTTATATTGCTATTTTAAAATTGTAATTTCAGTGCTCAAAAAAGTGAATACGACGATTTATGCAAATTATTAACTGAAGTGCTGAATTAAACAAAATTATTTATTCAATATTTCAAATTAAGGATTTCTAATTTAACGAGCATTCAAAAACAAAAACAAAAACAAAAGATATTCAGAGAAATCGCTTTAATTTGCGTGAAATAATAATTTGATTGTTAATTCAAAATCTGAAACAAAATGTTACCAACAATATAACTCTTTTGTTAGAAAGATTGAATAAATTGCGATTGAATGACTCTGAACAGGTTACCATTCATGGAAAATCCATTAGATCATATCATTGTTAATGATCATTTGACCCGAGATCAATGATTCTAGACAATACTTGTTAATTAAGCATTATTTTCTGCAATTCATCCAATCCCTTTTGATTCTGAAATTTTACCATTCTTTTCACTTGTCGCCAGGTCATTTGTACAATTAAGAATTCATTCAGTGTTTTAAAATTAAAACTAAAAATAAAAATTAAATTAAAATTAAAATCAAACCTAAAATAAATAAGTACTTTGCATAATGCATGTAAATTTTTGAAGTTTTTGTGCAATAAAATACTTTTTTTTTTAAATTTTAAGCACGTGCCTGAGGACATGTTTACGTGTAATACCAGTTACTGTTTTCAAGGAAATTACACAAAGTAGCTATTTAAGTAACATGTAGACAATGCGCAGAAAATAATGATAATTTTCAAATTCAAAGAAGCATTTATTTGAAATATTACATTATTGTTCTTAAATTACAAAATGTTTAAGTTCAAATATTTTATTTTCACACATTAAACCAAATTCATTCGAATTAATTGCACACACTAATTAAAATTTGGATTTTTTATACATTAATATTTGGTGAATAAGCGTAAATCCAAATATTTATTCAAATTTATGAACAAATAGATATCTTCTTATTGTGTTATTAAAGAAATAAATATTCTTAGTCTTTTTTTGACACCAAAATTAGACGTTAGCAAGAAGGCTAGTCTATTTCAAGTCTATTTTAAGTTCAAACATTTCTAAATGCATTTTATACAAAATTTGCATAAAATATGTTTTAACAAATGTAGCAATTATTTTTTAAGCTTAAGATCAATCAACACATTCTTTGTAGCCAAGTCTGATTTTAGATCTTAATGCATAATAAAATAGTTACGGTAAGTGTGAAGATTAAAATTAGATATCAGTAATAATAATAGTTAAATCTTCTTCTATTAATAATTATAAAGCAAAGTCAATTATTAATATCTTTCAGTAATAATGCACTTATTTATTCTATCATTAATTTAATGTAAATTAATTCCAGAAGTATCATTTACAATGTCATTAGTAATAGCATCATTTACAGAAATGTAGATAATCATTAATCCAGTATATGATTATTTAATTCTTAAGATCAAGTTTATCATCTAGGAATAATGATGATAAAATTGGAAGTATTTGCATACTACTCACTTGTAAATCA